CCTGGCAGTATTATTAGTAATAATATGTAGTAGGCCAGGTTTGCACATCATCACATTAAAAGTTTGTTGCACTAGCCTAGCCTAGTCTATAGGCCTACACACTAGGTAGGTCTAGGCCTATTGTTTGTCTTACTGTGTAGGAGGCCGTTGGTGTTATTTGTACAGTAAGTCTTTTCCCTTTACTATTTCTTACCTAGGCCTATAATGCATCTCCTTAATTTTTGAATATTTATTCTTTAGCTTCTTTTAATCAAAGTTGTTCTTTCAAATTATTTCATTTTTGGCGTAGGCTAGTATTTTCGAGCTATCGCTGTAACTTTCCCAGCTGACTGAGCTGCATACAGTAATTGCAATAACCTTGCCTTGGGCATTGGATAATTAATACTCCATGCTTGCGGTAGCTCGCGGTAGTCAAGACACGCTCCATTGAATAAATCTTGCTATAGCTCATTACCACAGTTAGCCTTGCTGTCACAGGATAATTTGGCAATGCTCCCTAATGACAATACCACCAGCAACTGAAAAGACTCCTGTCTTGCGATATACCTGCTTAATCAGGCCAAATCCCCAATCTGGCGAGAATTTGGTGTGTCCAGCTATTAAAAATCGCAACTGTACTGACTTTTGTTGACCTGGATATTTAAGAAATAATTCATTAAGTGTATATGTATTAAATTAACAGTAATAAAATTTAAAAAAAAAAGTTTATCAAAAAGTTTAACACATTATACTACGATTTGAGTTAAACAAGTTCCTGTTTGTACTGAGTGACATCCATGATGACTGTTACATTGCCCTTGTCTGCTGATAAAATATGGATAGTAGGGTCAGCACGAAGATTTTTCAATGCATTTTGTTCATCCTTGGTGATGTTGGATTTCGGCCTGATGTTTTGGCTAAGCAGTTGAGAAATATGCACGGATGTTATCTGCTAAAGTCTCGCCTAAAATAGGAGGAATACTGATGTCTCAGCTGAAGACAAATTTTGATTGCTGATGTTTACTACAGTCTTGGCATTGAACTCTTTGGAAGTGTCACTTTTACGGCATGTGAACTTTATCTGTTTCATTCATGTTTTCTCGAAGGGGAGTCGGCTGGCGGTGGTAGAACAGTTGTGGATTTTGTCGAAGTGGCAGTGTTGAATACTTTAGTACAGAGAAGCTGTATATTTAATCCTTTTACTCATAATTTTGGCAATTGATTCTAATATATGACCTATCAATTTAAAGTTTGTCACATTGTGGAGATTATGAATAATTAAATTGATTATACCGTAAAAGGCCCTAGGCTACAGTATTCCTCATTCACAAGTCCCCGTCAATCACATTAATTTTGCCTGTAATTAACTACTGTACTGTATTCCTGAGACTCCTCCATTCTTTTTATCAGGAAATATTTAATTTAATAGGAAGGCCTTGGCCTTGTATGCATGCTACCCCATGTATTTATTGTATTTGTTGTAAGTACGTGCTTATGTAGCCTAGGCCTAACGCCTACAGTACTTCCACTATATATTTAGCCAGTCCATGCCTATAGTAGTAGGATACTTTCTCCCTTCCTTCTACAGTACCTTAAAAAATATTCTTGATCATCCATTTTAATATCTGGAACAAGGTGAAATACTGGCTCATTTCTGCTCATTCCCGAAATATTTTGCGTACCCAAAATCTATGTTTCCGCCAATAGGTATGTTACGTTACAGCTCAGAATAACTAACAGAGAAGAGATCACAACTTTTGTGTATTTACAAAATATATATAATTTATTTACAATGCCATTATAATACGGTAATTACACAAAGATAGAAATTAAACATATAAATGAGCTTAGAGGATGGTGGTGGCTAGAACCTTAAGCAGCAATTTACGTACTTTACTTACAGATCAGAGAGGAACTGAAGCCGGACAAAATAACAGGGTTCCATGTAATAAAGATGTCTTGAGTTGTCTGCACTGGATCCCAAATTACAACTGAATTACTTAGGGTAGTAAGATCATTTAAGATGGATGTGACACTTTGCATACTAAGGGTCTCATCCAATCAGGGCACCAATTCCAACAAGTTTAGCAAACTAATCCACCAGTTAAAAGCTACAGTAAAGTGTCCGGTAAACATATACTTAATTAAGGTAATAAATAAGTGGTTGGACCAACTGAAAGTAAATGTCCAGGATGCGAAACCACATTCAAGTCTTAGAGATTCCAAGCTCAGTTCATTTACCTTGTGTTAATTAAATACTGACCACGGGTAAAGGAACTTGTGTGTCATAGGACAATAGCATACTGTAGGATAATAATATTTATGAGCTTTACAAAGTAAAACAAATTAAAATAAGGAAACAGTACTTTCCTAGAAAATGTTGAGTAAACCTTAAGGTCATAAGAATGCTAGCTACAAAATTTTATATTATATAATTATATAAAGAAGTTAATGTAACAAGGTAACATCCCTTTTTCTTCTTTGCCATAAAAGTAGCAGCAGAAGCTTCAATAAGAGGATGCGTCCTGTTGACAGCAAGACCCATGATGTCCGTGTGACTAAGTACGAAAATCTACAAGCCTTTCCATGTTTCCAACTGAAGTGGAACTGTTTATCTTTGTCAAGTTGCTTGTACTATTGCGTGGCCCTTTGAACCAGGCTTCACATCAATATACTTTCCAACAAAAAGTGTCTTCAAAAATGTAGTCAATGATTCTGGGAGATATTATTAATGGCAATCATAACACTAGTGAATTCTCTCACATCTGTATGGAACTTATCACTTGACTTTAATTCTGCTTTAATAAGTTTTGCTGCAGCTATAGATTATTCAAAACTTTTCAATTTCAGTGTCTTGGTTTTTTGGAGTTCTGAAATAATCGTTTAAACAATTCTGTCGCATTACATTTTAGTGTTACCACGTCTGTTTACCCATTCACTTCCGAAATGAACAAGTCATTGCCGAAGTATTCTTTCAATATCTGTTTCATATTTAGAGCTATGAGTTCATTACTGTCCAAAGCTAAAGCAATGTTGCATCTAGATATTGGTCTTTTTGAACCAGGTTATGCATCATATTTGTTCTTTTTGGCATACTTCATTTATTGATGAAGTGCTGAAGTGCACTGCATTTCTGGCACAGCATATACAATTTTTTTAAATGCCTGTTCTTTTACAGTTTTACATGTGATTGGTGGTTTCTGCTAAGTGATCTACTGCAGAGGTACTCGTTTATTAAAGACTTCATTAGTGAACAAAGTAGTGACAGAATTTTAATACTCACAGTTTACATAGCGCGCCGTCTGCTAACACTGAAGGCGCTTGACTCTTTCTAAGTTGTTATTATAGGTTGGAATAGCTGTGAATCAAAATTCAACGGTTGTCAGGTCTACATTTGAAATCCCTTACAGATAAGGTAGATAGGTCCGTGGCATCACTCCTTTGTGTTCTGATATCACCGGCATATTCTGCTGTGTGAAGTGTTTGATTTCCTTCCAGGAAATGCCAATGCCTTTACTTATCTCTTAATTTGCATTTGACAAATACTTTACGTTTGTTTTTTTTTCTCGGCATCCATTTCTTTGTGTTATTTTCATTTAAAACATTTCATACAAAGATTACTGTATGTTTTAACGTTGGGTAATGATAAGAAATGAGTATGCCAAGTTAATTTTACAGACCAAATTATTTAGTGACGACATGTTGTACAGTGAAATAATACTAATTTTGGTTTGTTTTATACAAACTATACTTGTACATTACATAAAACAGTGATTATCTTCAGTATTTGCATGAAAATTTTCATCATAAATTTGAGTGCAGAGTTAGTAATATGCCGACAGCCTGATTGCTAAACTTTCAACTAATGAAATTGCTTCCATCAAAAAAATCATTGCATGTCTATATGGGTATTTCTGTATGTTAATTTTTTAGGGGATTGACATGGCCATTTTCACTGTCATTTCGCTTTCGTTGAGGCATCATATCCTGATAATTCTTTTATTAGTGCGGGGTTTAGTTGGAGTGGCCTAGTAAAATGCTTGAGTGACATTTATTCAACTTGTATTTAAGACATTGTTTTCTTTACTGTATATATTTCTGTTTCAAAAGTGTAGTTTCGGAATAAATTATTATTATTTATCAATGATTAATAATAATCAGTAAAAAAAAAATCTGGGTGGAGGAGCATTTAAAAAAATGAACAGACGCCTGCTTGTCAAGACAGAGTGGTAATTTGTAAAACCACTCGTATGTCTAGCAGCCTGTAGTAATGCAACATTAACCTTCCTTCTACTTTGAACTTACCAGCTTTTCCAAAAAAAGAATCAAATCCTGGCACAGTGTAGTAGGTGAATATGCTGAAAGATTAAGCTTGGTCAACTGAAAATGCACAGCCGCAAAAAAACAATTTCCACTTCCGGAAGGTTTTCCCTAGGGATAGCTTTAATTTCGCAAGATTTTGATACAATAACTTTATGACTTGCCTTCGTTGTTTTGATGGCTTCAGAGAACTTTCAGAGTTTTTTCAAAATCATCAAAAGAAGTATGCAATCTTGCTCGCTTTATTTGTTGAAGGCAAATTGACATCGTCCTCCTCTGGCCTGGGCAACTTTGTAGGTGTTGATGTACAATTGGTTCGAATAATACCTACCTCACTCATCAGTTTGAATAGCTGTAGTGGTGGTGACACCGGATCTATCCTTGCTTTTATTGTAAGCTTCAGACTGGGCATATCCATTTGTTAAATGGAGGGTAGGAATTGCGTCGTCTTTTAAAGTCATAATAGGCATTTTTCGTTTTGACTACTACTAACTAATGGACCGTGACGGCAACGCCAAGACACTGTTCGCGTACTATACCAAGAGTTTTTTCGTTTTTTAAGGCGACTACGACGACGCAGAACACGTAGGCCTACGGAGGGGAGTTAGTCGACCATGGTTTTATTACCAGGGAACAATGTTCTCCTTGTTTTATATTTGAAAAAGGAAATGTGAAAAAAAAACTTAGTCAAATACTGTATACGAAATAAAAAGTTTCCAGAAAACACTGAGTATGTTTCGCTGTTGGCTAAGATCTAGGGGGTGTCTATAAAACGAAGACCGAAGACCCAAAAACGAAGACACCTATTCTTTTCTCTTTTGTTTTGATGATAATACACCTGGCTGTCACAAAATCACAATTACGAGGTTATTTGAACTTTAGTTTGTGAAATTATCAAAGGTCTTCGTTTTATAGACACCCATATATTATGGGTGTCTACAAAATGAAGACCGAAAAACGAAGACCCACAATTTTTTTTTCTCAATCGTGATGAAAATAATGTTTTTAAATCACTTCATGCTATATATATATAGTATTTGTCTTATTAACACATTATTTCCTGAATCGGAGTCAATTTAATTATTTACTTTTTATTCCAGTTTCAAAGCGGCAGCCATAATGTTGTTCCATGGCTGGTGGCAGAGCGAGTCTGGCGCTGCTGCCCTGGAACGAAAGTAAGGCTAGCTTATGGGTACGCGTATTTTGGGGGCCTACTATAAAGGCCTTGAATATTTCATTCACAAACTTGTTTCATGTTAAAATAAACAGTAGCAAACATGGGCGTCGATTGGTGGGGACAGGGGGACGCATTCCCCCCCCCCCACTTTTCAAAGTGTGGGGGACATCCTATCGATTGTCCCCACTTTTCACCAATCTTCTATAATTAAAACCCCACTTTTAAAAGCGAATTGAAAGAATAACAATTACGCATGATTCATGAATTTTGTCTGTTCACTTCTCTAAGTGCGGTACATTTTTTCTGGACCAAAACCGAGTAAAAACGCAATTGTTTAAACATTTCGTAACCATCTCAGAAACCCATTAGATCGATTTTATGGGTGCAATGACTATCAGAGGCTAAATTTATTGTGAACGTTGTTAAAATTGGAAGCATGTATCCTTATTAGGCCAATATTTACAAACTCAAAAGTGCACAATTTCTACTATAAACGATTTATTCTTTTTGTATATTATTATGACCTGTACGTATATACTAGTGTTTAATATTATCTACATACATAGGATTACTGTTTTTTTCTAATTTCAGCCTTTTAACACGGTTATGATGTTTACCTATTTCGATTAAGTGATAAGCCTACCAAGAGATTACAAACTCCAGTGTTACGTTGACGCAGTCTCGCAATGACGCCATAATAATCAGTGGCAGATTTAAGTGGGGCCGAGCCGACCCACATTTTTTTAAAAATTATTTTTTAAAAATGGGAAAAAAACAAAGGAAAATTATAATAAGAATTTAGGTCTGAGAGTGCCATTTCCGGCAATCTAGAGGTGTCATAATCAAAAAATTTTCTTTCCTCAGGCCCAACCATGGTGGGGCTCAGGTGATCTACTTTTCTAACGTGCAAGTCCCTCCCTGTCCCCCCTCTAATTGGCTTTCCTCTTGACTTAACTATTTCACCACAACATGCCTCATTATACTCACAGATAGCTTTGACAAAAAAAATAAAATTCAGACTGACAACTGTGTTTACTTTTAACATACTTTTAATTATAACTATAGTAATTTTAAATCCAATATACATGAATGTCATGCATAATGTACCCAGATAGCCAATTGTCATTAAACTTTATCATCACTGGGATAATAAATAGTTCATTATATGCACAATGGACACTTTGCGCTTAGTTGCTTCCGGGGTAGTCTCATGATCTGTATGCGGTACTAAATCAAAATATTGGATGCGGAATAGCGAAATTGTACAGTAATCATGTTCAGATGTTCTCTGGTTAAGTAATATATTTGAGAACATTACTTATGAAAACGAATTCAACAGTTTGCATGTAGTATACAACTGATTTCATGTAATATTTTGTCGCTGTACATTACAGACACTGCACTTATGATTTCGTTTACAACACACACATTCAGGAATTTACACTCACTTTCTGCCACCTTCAAGTGTGTATTAACTCGTCAAGTCA